TTACACAAAGTATTAAAAGGAAAGTTGAAGAAACTAAAATCTATGTCTAATGAGGATTGGGAGGATTTAGATTTGAGAGATATGAGCATAATTATCATGACTGAACTAGACTTGGCAGTCCGACCGGTGACTAGTGCCTTGGTTGGTCAGGTTTACAGTAAAAACCAGATTTTGTAAAAATTCAGTCAAAACAAGTGTTTGACCGGTTTTAGGTTTGATCGGCCAAACGAAGTGTACAATTTCTTTTCTAGTATATTACATATTTTTAGACCATAATTCTTTCTTTTTTATATATATTTCTAAAATCTGGTTAAACCGATTCAAGCGGTGGTTAGATAGCTTTGACTGACCAAATCCCTCAACGGCTCAACTGTCAGTCTGATCCTGATAACATTGGATATGGGTAACTATTTGACTGTGTCCATCAAACGAGGTATTGTATAGCATCATCAATGAGGATTCAACAACAAAGCTTTGGTTGGTGTTGTAGAGCTTGTATGTGAGGAAGTCCCTTATGAATCATTTGTATTGGAAGCAACAACTCTAATCTTACGGATGAACGAAGGTATGGATATCCTAGAACAACTAAATTGATTCCATAATGTTATATGTCAAATTGTCAATTATTGAATATTGATGTTAAGATGGAGGATGAGGATAGAGCCATGATCATACTGTCCTCACCCCCTCAATCGTATGAGTGTCTTGTCACAACATTGTTCCATGGAAAGGAATACCATAGATATTGAGGATATGATTCTGACGTTCCTCTCGAGTGATCTAAGGAAGAAGTATAGTATTGTTGAGCGGAATGCTCAAGGTTTGGTGGCAAGAGGGGGGTATGCAGAAAGAAAATAGAGGGACATGAAAGTCACGGTAGGTCTAAATTGAAATCCAAATGAAGCAAGAGTAATGTTCGATGTACTACTTTATGGAAAAGGGGCATGTGAAGAGGGATTGTCCAAAGTTCAAAGAGGAGGAGAATAAGCCTTTGACACAACCTATAATGTTGATGGAGGCTCAGACAATGGAACAAAGAATCTATTGTTAGTCTCAATGAGTTGTAATTACTTGAAAGACTTGTGGATTCTTATTTCGAGTGTTCTTATAATGTGTAGCCTCATTGGGATTGGTTCACGAAAATAGAAGCATTGATGGGGAATGAAGACCATTGGTGTAGGGATAGTTAACAACTTAACATCAAGATGTATGATAGAATTGGGAGAGCCTTGGCTGATGTGAGAGGTTCCAAATCTAAGAGTAAGAAAGAATATCATCTCTTTACCTTGGACACCAATGCTGCAAATATGTTGGAGAAGGTGGAGTACTGAACGTTCTAAAGGTTGCCTTGGTTGCGATGAAATGCACGAAGATTGAACAGAATTTATATGTGCTGCTTGAGAGCACAGTCATGGACAAAGCAGCTGTTTCCATAGTTGGTGGTGATTATGAATTGACTCACTTGATATATGAGGCTAAGGCACATGAGTGAGAGAGCTTTGTTGAACTAAGCAGATGCCAATCGATAAATAGTGTGAAGAAGTGCAAGATATACTTCTACGAGTAATGTGTTTATGGGAAGTTGCCAGGGGTGAAGTTTAGCATTTTGGTGTATATCATAAAGGACATCGTTTAATATACTCATTGAGATGTATGAGGCCATGCATCAATTGTTTCAAAGGGAGGATCGTCGTATTTTGTTTCTTTCACTAATGATTTCTCAATGAGGGTGTACATTTACACCTTGAAGAAGAAGACATTTGTGTTTTAAGATGTATGAGGCCATGCATCAATTGTTTCAAAGGGAGGATCGTCGTATTTTGTTTCTTTCACTAATGATTTCTCAATGAGGGTGTACATTTACACCTTGAAGAAGAAGACATATGTGTTTTAACAGTACCTCGGGGAGCTCTTGGGGCATACGTCTTCAAACTCTCGAAGCACCTCTTGCACTTTTTGAGGTATGGGCTGCTCCCCTGGCCTGGAAGCCCAAGCAGCTATACTGGTATGTGTAGGCTTTTCACTTGCTTAGCTCGCCACTGGTGTGGATCGGTGTATCTGGTTTGATTAACGCGTTTGGTTCCTCTGGTTGAGGAAGTAGTTTAGGCAGGGTGGGAAGTTAAGTGGGAGACAGGAAGGTTTAGGGGGAGAAGGAAAGCGACGGAAAGAGCTATATGCGTGAGGTGATGATGCGACACTGGTCTTTGAGGTTGAAGATGCCCCTGATGCCTCGCTGAATTAATGGTTTCTCCTCTCTAGGCTCACAAAAAATTGATGTCGGTGTTACGATTAATGGACAGGACACGACAACACTTGTTGCGACGGCATAATTGAATTGCAGAGCGGCTAGCAAAAGAGATGGGACTTAGACTTGAGCGAGACTCGAGCAATGAAGGTAGTGTAGGCTTAAACATTAAGAAGCTCAAGTTGAGAAACATACCAGAAAAAGGTGATATGCTTGAGGGCTGATAATGGTGGAAAATACACCTTGGCAATGTTTGTGAATTTTTGTGAAGCCTGAGAAGGAATTGTTTGTCATTTTACCACTTCAAAGATGCTGCCACAAAATGGAGTTTATGAGTGCATGAAAATGACACTTCTTAAAAACACTTGCAACATGTTCAGCAATAATAGTTTGGCCAAAGAATTTTAAGTAGAGATAGTTACGACGACGTTCTACTGAGAGAAAGGGCCTCAACTTGGTATAGTGAAGAGAACCAATAAGCCAGTGGTGTGGTATGGTTTTGAGGGCATAGTGGCTTATGCGTTGGCTGCAACAATGCCAAGAGCTATCCACTTTTGTGGAAGCTATGAGGGATGTTAACAGTAGTACATGGAGTGATTCAATGAATGAGGAGATGGAGTGTATTCAAAAGCATCGTACCTAGGATCTCGTGAAATTACCCAAGGGAAAGAGACTGGTGCTTATTAGTTTAAGGCACGAATAGTTGCAAAATGGTATGCGCTATGTGCAAAGCTAAGGTATTGACTGTAATGAGATCTTCTCTCTGGTTGTGATACACACCTCTATTTGGGTATTATTGCCACATTTTCATTGTTTGATTTGGTGTTAAAGCAACTTGACTCAAAACCACCTTCCTGCATGGAGAATTGGAAGAACAAATTTATACAGCCTGAGGGTTTGTGGTCAAAGGCAAAGAGGATCATATCTACAAGCTGAAGAAGTCATTGTACAACCTAAAACACTCTCCAAGGCAGTGGTACAAGCGCTTCGATGCGTTTATGAGTAGACATAGGTACGTCAGAAGTATGATAATTGTGTCTACTTTAAAGAGATTTAGTGATGGCTCGTTCATCAACTTGTTGCTTATGTGAATGAAGTCTTATTGTTTTGAACAAGTAAATCAGTAAATTGATTAATCAATTGGATGAAGAATTTGAGAAAAAGGATTTAGGTTTGGCAAATAAAATTTTGGGTATGGAGATAAATAGAGATAAAAAATCAGCGAATTGTGGTTATCTCAAAATGAGTACATTGAGAAGGTCCCCATGAAATTCAGGATGGATAATTCGAAGCCCATGGGTACACTTGCTAATCATTTCATATTGTTAGCAAAATTGTCTACTAGGACAGATGCCAAAAAGGAGTGCATGTCCCGTGTACCTTATGCAAGTGCAGTTGGAAGTCTCATTTATGTGATGGTTTAGGAATCGGGCTTGGGTTTGAGCTGTTAGCAGTTGATGTCAAGCAATATTATGTCTCAAGTTTGATTCCAACCACTGAACTACCTAACAATAAATAAAAATAGTTGTGATGTTTTGCACTTATCCATATACTTCACATGCCGTTGGTTGTGTTAGCAAATATGTGGTTAACCCAGGAAAGGAGCTTTGGCATGCGATGAAATGAATACCATGTTACTTAGGGTATACATCAGATGTAGTTTTGATGGTTAGCAATAACAAGAATTTCGGTTACAAGGTTGTTGGTTATATAGATGCTGATTTGAAGGTGATTTGAACAATAGAATGTCCATTATAGGTCATGTGTTTACACATGATGGAACTCCAATTAATTGGAGGTTGATGCTACAGCCTGCCTGCTCCAATTATAGGCAGTGGTTTGGGTGGACGGGCAGTGGCTGGGAGAGAGAGAGAGAGAGGGCGATGGAGATTGGGGGGAGAAAGAGGGCAAGGGTGATAGATAAAGAGAAGAGGGTTTTGAGGT